GAGATACAGGCTGGTAAGAAATTAAAACTCAGGAGCTTAAGATAAAATATATTTAAATACTTAAGTTACCCTTTTATCACAAGTTAAGCTTTCACATCTCCAGGCATATATAGCTTGCATTTATACATCTTAATACACCTTCTTAGACCCTAAGACATTTGCTTAGATCTTTAAAACTTAAGGTTCTACTTTACACTCTATTTATACATTTAATAGATTTTTAACCAAATCTAATAAAATGAACCTATAAATTTGGAGGTGTAGAATATTTATATAAACCTAGTTTAATTTTTTGACTGTGCCATTTTTAGTCTTTTTTAAAGATATATTTTATTTACTTATTATATATAAAGTGGTCTTTTATTATACTTTATGCAGTATTCTGCTTGCATGTATGCCTGCAGGCCAGAAGAGGGCACTAGATCTCATTGCAGATGGTTGTGAGCCACCATGTAGGTGTTGGAAATTGAACTCAGGTTCTTGGGAAGAACAGCTATGGCTTTTTAACTGCTGAGACATCTCTCTGGCCCCCATTTTTAGTATTTATGTCAGGAGGCTCAGTCTGACACAAGACAGAGAGAGGCTTTAAACCATGCTTGAATCTGGGGAAGGGGAGAGCGAGACCCCAACTCTAGAAACAGCCTTTTAATAAGATAGAACAGCAGCAAAAATTACCTTTGTTGATATCTATATCAGAAGGATGATAAACATTTGTGAACCTGAATCTAGTGGACAGAGACCTCAGAGATATTTTTGAGGTCCTGCCAAAAGTAGTTAGCTCAGTGGTGATTTGAAAGGCAATAGGGGTGACAGAGATAAAATATTTAACCCACCTTTGTCTCCATGACATATTTCAATGACATTGATGAACATAGAAGCACGCACTAACGGACAAATAGACCGATTTTTAATGACACAACTACCAAATGAAACCTTCTCCTGAGAGGGATATTTCCCTATGAATTTTTAACCTCCCTGATGGACATCCTATTGATTCTAAAATAAAAGAGAAGAGTTAGTAGAATAATAGAAAAAAGGTATTTTAATGGGTCTTTAAGGCTTTGTGGTCAGGATGTAGTGTCTGGGAGACTGTGAAAGGCAGCGCTCTGGAAATGTTGGTCGGGAAGGCTGGAGCAGACCCCATCCCTGGTCTCCTTCACATGCTCCTTCCATCCAGAGCCTGCTGCCGTCAAGGTCCCTAGCTGATAGAAAGGTGTAAAATACAATGATATTTCTATGATCTTTCTAAAAAAAATATTTACCTCACTTTCCTGCAGTAAAATTTAGATCTACCAACTGAAAACTATGTCACAATACCTATAAATAATCTGCCACATTTATATGGAGATAAAAGGTGTTCAAACCCTGTGGAGAAGAGCTGTGAGACTGGGTCTCCCTTATGACACCTTGACCTGGAGCTAAACCATAGATTTAATAGCAATCCTCTTGCCTCAGCCTCCCTAGTACACAATTGGTTTTCATCTTTAAAAAGACCTTTTTTTGTTTTGTTTTGTTTTGTTTTTCGAGACAGGGTTTCTCTGTGTACTTTTGCACCTTTCCTGGAACTCACTTGGTAGCCCAGGCTGGCCTTGAACTCACAGAGATCCACCTGGCTCTGCCTCCTGAGTGCACCACCACCACCTGGCCTTTTTTTTCTTATGAGAGACAGAAAGAGTGCATCCAGGGGGTGGGGGTGGGGACTGGGTTAAAAAGAAGGATGGGAAAATATCATCACAATATAGTGTATGAGAACAGAATCTACTTTCAACCAAAGGAAACAAATGAAAACAATTATATTTTATTTTGTATGTATGAGTGTTTATTTGGATATTTGTATGTGTACCACATGAATCCTGATACCCTGAGTGGCAAAAGAGGGTATTGAATCCCCTGAACCACAGACACTGTGAACTGATCCTGTGTCCTCTATAGGGGAACAAGGTACTTTTAACCCTCAGTCACCTCCCCAAGGCTGGCATTAATAACCACTGGGTAATATTCAGACAGAGCTGGAAAATAAAACCTAATAGAGCCCAATCCATTTACATGCATACCAAATGGACAAATATTTTATTCTTTTAAGGCAGTACTTGAAAAACTTACCAAGGAAAGACCAATACTTGGAGAGAACCCCATTTTTATTCATTGTATTAAACTTTGACCTCTCAAAGATAGGATCACAGATGATATATTGACATCTCACCTTTCACTTCCATTCATAACTTACTCAGACCTTCATAACTTGGTCAGGCTTGCACACTTTCTTCCTGATGCTGGGAAATCATCAGCCATGTTAACCTTTATACACATATTTTTGCTACAAATATTTTCATTTTCACACCTTTTCCAGAATATCTTTTCCTGTGTCCTGTTTCCTTTTTGTTTTTTTTCCTTTCATCATATGATGAAACAGAGTGAAATAATGAATTAAGTAAAAGGGAAAGTTGGCTCCAAACTTGATGTGTAACATCATAGCAATAAATTAATAACTCCAGTATACCCAGTGTTCAGATATGAAGTGTATATTCCCCTGAAAACAGCATACACAACAAGTCACTCAACAATAGTTTCTGCACTGTACAGTCCATGAAATGTTCTCACATCGCATGTTTGTGGTCTCATTTGAGAATAAATACCAGATAAACCACCACAAAATATCAACCAACTGAAGTTGACCACATCTAACAGAAAAACAAGGAAAAGTCCTGATATAATGTCATCTTGAGGCAATAGCTGAATAGTTTTAAATAGATGTCGCCCTCTATCCTTAGGTGGATGAGCAGCCCATTAATTGTTTCTATTGTAAACATCATTATATCTAGAGATGGACAATAGACCCCTCTCCTTGAAACAGTTTTCCCCTCAGTTGTTATGAAGGACAGGATGTCTTTCCCCTTGGCCTGTTTTGCTGTTCACATTGGTGCTTGTCACAGAGTCAGAGCCTATCCTGACTCATGGAAGGAATGTTAGAGGATTGTTGAAACCAAGTGTTTGTGCTTCAACTAAGTAGACCCAACCCCATCTCCTGAGCCTGCTTCTCAGTGAGCTCACAGAGCACCTGGCAGTGCACACACAAAAGTCTTTAGATCCTCTGTATAGTGGAAGGCTGCAAATGATGACTCTTTGTAGATGACCAGTGACTCTAGAGGGAACCAGCTGGGTGTGCTGTACCTGTGTGTTATTCTGGACAGAAGTTTTACATGCTGAGAATGACAGGATGGACCCTACACACCTGAGAATATCTAGTTTCCTCATGCTTCATCACACACACACACACACACACACACACACACACACACACACACACACACACACACACCTATATATAATCACTATGTAGCCAACAAATGAATCAACACACTGCAGTGCATATTACCTTCACATTTGGACTTTGGTATGGAGATGTGCTCTTCCTTGTCTGCTCATGGTTGCTGCTACTGAGAGAATCCTACTGCAGTGTATGGCATACTTGAGGTGAGATAGATGTATCGAATCATCTTATATATTCTGTGAAGTGATCCACAGTTACCCTAAACAGAAGATGAGTATTTTGTGGCCCAACCTTTATTCCTAAACAAATACCCACCATTATTAAAAACCAAATATTAAAAATTATAAACTGGGCCCATATCGGGCAACAGAGTATACCACCACGAGAAAGGCAAAATAAACAGGAAAAAAAACAAATGACTCTATTAGGAAACTAGAAGTTTTGTTTTGAATTTCAATGATGGTAAGGAAAATCTCATGGGATGAATCCCAGAAATGAAGTTTCTGCTACTTTATAGATATTTGTCCATCCAGCAAAATATGTTTAGGGAGAGGCAAAGAATGTTTATCTGGATATGTCAGTAGCAATCTATCATTGCACAATATATTCCCTATCCAACGTGCCAGCATTTAAGATAAACATAAGTGCAAAGAGACACAAAAAAGGAGCAGGACATATTAATTTTGTTTGGGGGACTTATGTGGGTCTAGACTCTAGGACAAGGACACATCTCCATTTTCAACTGTAAAATTCATGTCTGCCAATTAAAAATTATATGCCAATACATATAGGTTATTAGTCTCATCTATATGAGATAACATTTCCATAAACTGCTCAAACAACAAATATAAACATGTTTGGACATATGACTGGTAAAGAAAGACGAACAAGAATATGGATGTAGAGCCTGGAGAAATGGCTTAGCGGTTAAGAGCACTGATTGCTCTTTCACAGGTCCTGAGTTCAATTCCCAGCAACCACATTGTGGCTCACAATTATGTATAATGAGATCTGGTGCCCTCTTCTGGTGTGCAGGCATGCATGCAGGTGGAACACTGTGCATATAATAAAGAAATATTTTAAAAAGAAAAAAGTTATGGATATATAGGGTGCAGTATGGGTAACATGTGATCTAATACAATATATGGACATATTGATTTCCAAAGGCTGTTTGAATATTTATATGATGATGGATATTCTTTTTCATTTTACTTTCTCCCATTTATTTATGATCTTCTTTCTTTCTCCTTCTTCTTCTTCTTCTTCTTCTTCTTCTTCTTCTTCTTCTTCTTCTTCTTCTTCTTCTTCTTCTTCTTTTTGGTTTTTCTAGACAGGGTTTCTCTGTGTAGCTTTGCGCCTTTTCCTGTAACTCACTCTGTAGCCCAGGCTGGCCTCAAACTCACAGAGATCCGCCTGCCTCTGCCTCCCGAGTGCTGGGATTAAAGGAGTGAGCCACCACTGCCTGGCTATGATCTTCTTTCTTACGATGCACAAAGGGAGATGTGAGACCGGTTCTCCTTATCACCAGTTGGCCTGGATCTCACTCTGCAGGCTGACATGCCATTGGTTACATTGCAATCCTCCTGAATCAGTCTCCCCAGTGCTGGGATAAGTTCAGTGAGTCAACATGTCTGGTTTATGAGGAAGGATTTTCAATCAACTTTTACTTAATAGAGTGTGTATGGCTGCTAGTAAAGCTGTCTTCTGTTTGTCATGTTGACTGTGGATTTCAGCAGTTGAAGAGCACAGAACAGGGATCCTTAGGATCCCTAAAGATCAACAGGAAGGGAGAAACAGTGGGGAAGCCTGCAGTCAAAACTTCATTTACATGCCTCAACCAGAGACGAGAGTCTATTAAAAAAGTGTGAAAGATTACACAAATAAAATTTAGGAGGTACAGGGAAACAAATGTGACCACCAGCATGAGGACAGTTTGGGCTGCTCTGGTCTCAGCATGGCCTCGGTGGTTCTGACTGGCAGTGAGGATGTGCTGTGTTCGCTGGCGATGCCTATGGAGGAGAAGCACCATGGAGACACTGGTCCAGATCATGATGCTGATGAATGTGGCATCATGGGCAAAATGCAAGATGGCCATGCCTACAGTGAATCCAGATGTGGAGCAGACCCACTTGCTGTTTTTGTTAGTGTCATTGCCTGTGCTCTGTGGACCGATGACTTTCATTGGAATATAGACATTACTTAAGATACTGAACAACCAACAACTGTAACAAGAATAACTCTGGACATTAGGAGCTCTTCCTCGAGGCATCAGCCTACCCCAATGA